AAAAAAAAAAAAAAAAAAAGTGAGATGTTCCCAGAGATAAGCTAACTTCACTGTCACCCACTGTGGGTTCTAGTCTGTGCCTTCTCGCTACTTTCTTGAGTAGATATAGGGGCTACGATGCTTTCCTTCTATTCAGACTCTAGTTGTTAACTGATATCCTTTGAGGGCTTTGCTTCTTATTCTCTTTGTTTTGTATCTTATTCTGATACCATAGGGCACATACTATTTATCTTATTATTGTCATAGACTAGGAAGCTCACATTTTTTTCCTTAGGAGGCATTTACAGACTCATAAAAGCATAGAGCTGGCTTAGAGATCATTCTAGCCTAACCTCATTTTGTAATTGGTGAAGATTTAACATTTTCAGTTGTAGATGGCTTGGCAAGCTTTAACCCTTAGGCTCCTCTTAATGTTTATTTATTTTTATTTATTGTATTACATCTTTGTTATTAAATGCTGACTGTGTCTGGCCCACAAAGCCTGCCTCCTGGCTCAGTAACCTTAGTGGAGCAGGCCTCAGCACAGAAAAGGAGAACTTGCCCAGAAAAACGTGGGTGGATGTCCATGAGGATCTGTGGTCTGTGCCGTGAATCTCCTCCAATTCTGGTTCTGAGTGGGATCCCCAGAGGAGGTCTTGAAGAGGTAATGTGTGGAAAAATTGGGAAGCAAAGTTGTGGTTAATGGCTATAGAAGAGAAAGGATGTTTCAAGCCTCCTCTTTCTCTTTTGGAGTACTACATGTTTGAGGGAGGTGGGAGGAAGGGGCGAAGAAGCTAGAAAAATGATGAGCTTGCAGAGTGTAGGACAAAAAAGGGAACGGAGATCAAATGGTCCTGGATGGAGAACCAGGGAGATGAAATGTCCTCAATTCATTGTAGACTTTGAGATCACTAACTTATGACTTGAAATTTTCATGTGTTCCAAGTTTTCCAACCCTTCAGTCAATGTATATAAGATTTCACCATAACATTTATGCCTCCAGGGCATAAATAAATATATTTTGTGTGTAGTAAATTGCTTTTTCAGCATACTCTGCTGTCAGTGTTTAAATCCTGATGGCATTTAGCCTACAGATTATAGTCCATTCAGAGGCATCAGAAGCTGCTTGGTATAGTCTGTATCAAGAATATTGATCATGGCTCGGCGCCTGTGGCTCAAGCGGCTAAGACGCCAGCCACATACACCTAAGGTGGCGGGTTTGAATCCCCAGCCCGGGCCCGCCAAACAACAATGACGGCTGCAACCAAAAAATGGCCGGGTGTTGTGGCGGGCGTCTGTGGTCCCAGCTACTTGGGAAGCTGAGGCAGGAGACTCGCTTGAGCCCAGGAGTTGAAGGTTGCTGTGAGCTGTGATGCCATGGCACTCTACCCAGGGGGATAGCTTGAGGCTCTGTCTCAAAAAAAAAAAAAAAAGAATATTGATCAAGCATTTAACATATACAGAGTCTCAGACTAGGGAAATATGGAAAAAATCTAACACCTGATGCACACTTTGGGGACCCTTGTGGTCTAGATGGAGAGACACAAGAGATGACTGAAGACCCTTAGGGAGAACCTGGATCCCACACAGGCTCAGAATGAAACCAAGAGAAAGAGGATTAGTCCAAAATAGCTTCCTGGGAAAGAGGCTTTTAGTAATAACATACAATTGGGAGAATGAGCAGAGAAGCCCCTAGAAGGCATTAAGCACTTTGCCAGGGCTGCAAGCACCTCACACCCTCAGGGGTACCACCCCTTATGCAGTGGTAATTATTGTTTATACCTTTGTCTTCTCCATTAGACTGAGTAGCTGGAAGGAAGGGACCTTGTTGCTTTTTGTTTTGTTTTTTTTTTTGTAGAGACAGAATCTCACTTTAATGCCCTCAGTAAACCTCTAACTCCTGGGCTTAGGCGATTCTCTTGCCTCAGCCTCCCGAGTAGCTGGGACTATAGGCGCCCACCACAATGCCCGGCTATTTTTTTGTTGCAGTTTGGCCAGGGCCAGGTTTGAACCCATGGGGCTGGTGACCTACTCACTGAGCTACAGGCACTGCCAGGACCTTGTTTTTATCTCCGACACATCCCCTGACATGTAGGAGTTGCTTAATAACTGAGGAAGACTAAGAGGAAATGAAAAGATGTTTCTATAGGAGGAAGGCTTCTCTGGAGGGGATGGAGCAAATTAACTTGGTAGGAATAGAGAGCTGGTATTGGAACACATACGAAGTCAAGTAAGAAAATAGCTGTAAAAGGTGTTTTGGGGACAATAAGGGAAATTCAAACATGGACTATTAGATGATGTCGGAATTGTTAATTATCCAAGTATTATAATTGCTTTATGGTTATGCAGGAGAAGATCCTTGATCTTAGGGGATGCCTGGTGACATATTTAGGGGTGAAAGGTCATATTTGCAACTTACTTTAAAGACGGTTTAGCAAAAACAATGTATATGTTTTTGAGATATGTTATATTATTACATATTAGAGATAGATTGTAGCAAATCATTAACAACTATTGAATACAAGTACTCTGTACTATTTCAGCTTTTCTGTGTGTATGAAATATTTTATTTTTTATTTATTTATTTTTTTCATTTTTACTGGAGGAAGCTCTGAATGGAGAATATGGAATATATATTTTTTTCTTTTTTAATTTATTGTTGGGGACTCATTGAGGGTACAAGAAACCAGGTTTCACTGATTGCATTTGTTAGGTAAAGTCCCTCTTACAATTGTGTCTTGCCCCCAAAAGGTGTGGCACACACCAAGACCCCACCTCCCTCCCTTCTTCTCTCTCTCTGCTGATCCCTTCCCCACTCCTCCCTCCTTCTTCCTCTCTCTGCTCACCCCCTCCCCTTGTCATTAATTGTCCTTATATCAAAATTAAGTACATAGGATTCATGCTTCTCCATTCTTGTGATGCTTTACTAAGAATAATGTGTTCCACTTCTGTCTATGTTAATACAAAGGCTGTAAAGTCTCCATCTTTTTTAATGGCTGAATAGTATTCCATGGTATACATATACCACAGCTTGTTAATCCATTCCTGGGTTGGTGGGCATTTAGGTGGTTTCCACATTTTGGCGATTATAATTTGAGCTGTAATAAACAG